GATACATTTTTTGTTTCTTGTTCCTCTTCTGTATTAAACTCAGAGCTAGACAGTGGAATATATCTCTGTGGGATTTTCTAGCAAAATAGCTTACACAGAAATCTCAGGGAAAAGCATAGATTTTTGTAGAGAAGTAAAAACTGAGAGACTGAGAAGAAAATGTACTACTCTCTCACGAATTTCAGGTTATGTGAAATATGGCAGAACTTTACTTACATTAGGGAAATCATGGGAGAAGGTAAAATTAAAACCTTCAATTAGAGAAGTCTGAGGTAAATTACTAACAGTCTGGAACTGCTTGTGTTATAGAAACCTCTTGAACAGGAAAGAGACATTAAAATTTTATGTAAATTTTGAAGATTTAATTCTATGTTGAACACCTCCAAAGAGGGTTAAGGATTAATTTCATTATGTCCTTCTAGACATGAAGCCAACTGGAGATGTGACTACAGTAAAGCTGTGAGCAAAATATAGTACATTAAGCAACACAAATCAAGGAAAAAAAAAGTTTGTGCTGAACTTAACAACAGAGGACCTCCAATTCCCAGGTATCTTCACCAGTTTCCAGAGACTAGCCCCAGACCTTCAAATCAGAAATATACTCAACTTCTAAATGTCCAGTTTGCTTATGGTACTTTCTGTCTTCACACTTATTTTATGTTAAATCTCACTGAAGTCCTTTAAATTAGGAGTCAGTCATTGAAGAGGAAGAAATATGGATTTTCATACTAAAAAATTGCACCTATTCCAAATAATTGATCTCTACAAAAAGGTCGCAACTGATGGTGGAGAACAGATACAGCTCCTCTGACGTGTGCTTCAGGATTTCAGTGAAAGCTCTAACTTTCAAGGCAACAGGGTAAGTTATGGACCATCTCCTGGCTGTATAAACACAATGTATGTGGAATAGCTGAGCACTGGTACCCTGTCAAGATCTGTGCTGTTTCACATGCACTAAAAACCCCATCTAAACTAGCGTTGTCTTTGCAGTAGGCTCCCTCAGCCTCTGACCTCAGGAGTTGCTGACAACCACAGGAAACTGCCCCTGCTTCTGTAACTGAGAGGGTGAACACTGGCTGGACCACACTAATTTTTCCAGTGACATTGCTCCTGGGTCAGTTGAAGACCGGCTCACACAAGTATCTCCTCCAGCAGAGTTCTCTACAGACCTGCTCTACAGAGCACAAAGGAAAGCTGCTAAGCTTGGCAGAAGAATAAAGTGGTGATGCAGCTTTCTAGGAGAGGTTGCAGCCTGGACTCATCGTCCTTGACACCAGTTACCAGCTGGGAAGCAGCAGGCACCAGGTAATTGGGTACCTGGCAGTGTTTTCTCTGCCACAGGCAGACACGACCACGAGTCCAAATTCTGCCCCAGAACCTGTGATGAAAAGCTATATTTTTCTGAACGATACTGATTTTGTATCAAATTCATTTGATATCAAATTAGTTTCTTTAGAAGACTCCTGCCTCAAGTTCTTCAAAACCACTTCTGATTGTTTCTGTCTCCTGATATGATTGAAATACAAGACAATTAATTGTCCTGAACCACTTTTTGTAAGTTCAGCTTATGCCTGTCTCAAGAAGCAGCAGATGGCCTGTCACTTTTTATTCTTACTGCTCTCTGTTCTGTTTCAATAGCTTCATTAGGAGGTGGCAATGGCAAAAAACAAATCTTTAATTCAGTGATGTATGCTTCATACTCAAACACCAAACTTTTCAGTTATGTGCTACAATGATCACAAGGTCAAACTAACTTGCTTTCAGCAATCTTTGGTCCTTGATATAAAACTCAAACACAAGAAACATGATGCTGCCTTCAGAAATTACAATTCAGGGGGCAGGAAGAGTTCTAAGCTGGAGTGTGTGTTAGAAAAGCGACCACTCAGTTTAAATATCTAATGTGACCCTAACTGTTTTAAGCAAATTACATTTCACGTCATGGCACACTTCAGAGCTGAATTCAGTAAGGTGGGCTTTGTCTTAGTAGAACAGCATAATACTCGAAGATTATCCACATGGACTAGCAACTATACTAAAGACAGTTGAAGAAGTGTCCCATTTTCTTTCCTAGAAAACAGGGATTAAGCACTTGATTTTTGATGAAGCAGGCAGAAAATTTATTGTTTTAGTCTGAAAAAGCCTCAAATAAATCCAAACAATTTCTATCCCCTAACAGCACAAATTCTAACTGGAATATAGCTGATTTTCAATGGAAAGGCACACATGTAATTCAACCAGAAGCACACAAGATTGAATATCCTTCAATATACATCATGAGCTAGACAACTCTTGTTTTGCTGCTCTTCTTACAAAATAATTCTTATTTTTACAAATCTGAATGTTGCTGTTCTTGGAAAGAAAAAAAGAGTGTTAAATTTATCCAAGAGCCTGTAGTGACACACATTGGAGAAAAGTAAGGAGAGTAAGCAGGTTTGCATAACTGGTAAGATATTGTATCTTCTTACTCCAGCTGTAATTGTCCTGTCTTTGCACAGGACCTACTTGCTCTGTTTTTTTTAAATCAAAACTTAACTGCTAGAGTTAGGCTAAAAGCAATTTATTGCCTGAAAATTTTCACAGTGATTTGTATTTCACAAGATGAGTAGACAGTTACATGAGCAAAAATAAAGTTGTGAAAAAACAAAGCAGGAATTTTGGTCCCAGAAACAAACTACAGCACTCGCTAGCTGCCTTGCGATGTAAATATGCCTCCTTCAGGACATTCCAGTAATGACCTCACAGGCAATCTTTGGGCCCAACTTGTGCTTCTGTTACCATTCTTCCCTTGCAGCACCTAGATCTGTCTGCCAAAGAACAAACGGTCTTCCGGCAGCAGCTAATTTCACAGATGTGAGCATAACATTAAATTTTTAAATCAAATGCTGCCACTAACTTGCAGGATGTTGAACCCATGGCAGCAAAAGACATCATACTAAGAGTTACTTATGAATACAACTCTGCCTCCAAAGCTTCATAGAGTGACTTGGGAAGAACCATTCCCTCCATGACCTCTGACACTGAAGAATTTTAACCTTGTGAGCTTCATTTATGCAGGAAAAAGACTCATGTAACAGACACACGAATCTTCTTGCTTCTTTAGCCCCTTGTTACAGGTCCTTTTTTGCTTGCACTGTGAAATTGCATCATGCTAATCAACAGCACGCAGCATAACATGTGGCTTGACTGTGGTATGTGTCTGAGTTAGTAAAAATAGCTGGCTGATGAAATGTGAAGCAGGACAGTCTTTGTCTATTATGAGTCATGTTCAACAATTGTTCTAATGAAAGCTAGAAAGAAAAATTTGGTGGCTTCGGTTTTTATTTGTTCCCCTCTAGGATCTTCAAGTTCACACAAAATAAAACATCACTGTTCAGTTGACCACGGTATCTCACAGAGCTGAAAGATTTGTTCTATGGTTTTAACACTTGAACAGTTTAGAATTATATCTGCAGATGACTATTTGTGCAATGCCTCCATTTGTCACAGTTCCAGTCAATCAAACACTGCCTTCTTTGGTAAGTGCTCATTTAAAACGCTTTACACATATCTAGTTCTTTCCAGGATAATAAAAATACAAAAATCTGGTTCAATATATTTTTAAAAGTGGGATGTTAGAGTGCCCTAGACTTCTTTTTATCTCTAAAATACTTAGTGTGATTTTCATTTATCCCCAGTCTTTCACAAGAGCTTTTCATTTATCCCCAATCATTCACAAGAGCTTTTTTTTTTCCCTTTTTTTTTTTATTTGCCTTTTTTTCTTTCCTTTTTTTATTGCCTTTTTTTTTGTTTAAGTATCACAGACTGTTGGACTGAATCTGTCAAAGTTGCCAATATGGAAGTTAGCAACAAAAACTGAATATGAGATTGTATCTCAAGAACTTGTAACATTTTCTTACTGTCACAGTAAGGAGATATCCCTCAGTGGGGTATAATATTTAGCCACAGCTATCTGAGCAGTCTGAAGGAAGTACTTATCTTTTAACTCCGCAGGGAAGTTTGAAAGTCGCTCAATTTATTTTTTAGTTCTCTTTAATTCACAGGAAGAAGCAACACTTTTTTAAAATGTTTATTCAGCTTCAGATATCTCTTCTAAGGATACCTGTGGTATATTTCATATACATCTTCCCTCATTCCTTCAAACACTCTTAAGCTCTGAGGTAATTTAGGACTAAATACAAGAACCTTTTTAAAAAATAAAAGCAAGAGATCAGTAAAAAAAAATTTTAGGCAGGATAAATAGAAAAATATTTTGTCTTCCTTTCATTATGAATAGTTTCAGCATAATGCACTTCAAAAAGCAAAATAATCAAGTCACTAAGTCCAAAATTAAGTGTATTTCTCAAGCAAAACTGACTTAAGCTAGCATTTCACCTGAGTTTACATTTCAGGGATTGGGCCCATAGCAACAGAGAAGACAAAGCATCCAGTGGCAGATCGTCCCATGTCATTCTACCCCTTAGAGGGGTATAGGAAAAAATGGGGGGGAGGGGGGAATTTAAAAAAAAAATTTTTAAAGTCAAACCTGGCCTTGCTGGCTCCACGTGGGCAAAAGATGGTCACTCTCTCTAGCAGCATCTCCACTCACGCCTGTCAGCCAGTACTGACTCTGACAGTATTATCTTATCTGCACACAAAATCCAGGGAGATTTTGCGAAATGTTAGCAATGGAGTCCTGCTGTCCCAGTGGGACCTTTCAGTTTGAGGAGTGTATTCCAGAGACGCAAGGCACTTCCTGGGAAGGCCCGAGGTGAAATCTGTGAGTTTAGGAGACGGTCCTCTACCCATGGAACGGTAAGGGCATCCCACACATCCTCTGTGAGATAATTCCAAAGGAACTCTGATTTAAAATTTAGCATCTTCTGGCATACATGAAGATTATTCTTTTGAAAAGCATGATTTCACCCTCTCATTTATATGCTATATTGGAAGAATGCAATACTCTAAGTAAGATATTTTTACAGTTGTAAAGATACATTTTGGGAATGACATAGGCAATGCAAGTGATAGTTCTTTAGGCTGACTGGAAAAAGCTAATCGGAGTCTTCATCGTCGAGATATTCCTCTGCATTACTTAATGTTCGGACCGTACCTGGAAAGAAACAAAGCTCTCTTAATCTAGGATAATATCAGAAAAAGCCTCACACATCTGCAATGCTTGCAAACCAGCATCTGAGAAACATGATTCCTCTGTCACTTAGCCCCATCTGGGCAGCCCTAACATCTCTATCTCAAAAGGCTGGATCTCAAAGGTAGGGGGCTAAGCCAGTAATCAAGTTTCCTACATATGAGATTTAGTCTGTTCGTGACCTTCAAGAGCCATCTTCTGGCTCCCTGTAACCTGTGCAGCAGAGTTGGAACTCTTTAATTCTGTTTTCTGTATATATTACCTTTAAATTGCAAAGGAAAGGATGGGTGAGTTGGTGGAATAGCCTCTGTGGTTCTGAGTGTCTATCTGGCTGCCATTCTCTGCTTAAAATCAAACACACTCCATCTATTCTCTCCCCTCCCTCTTTCATCACCTAATTTTTTTCCCTGAATAAGTATTTCTTAGATCTACTCACAAGCTTTTGTTTCTGAAGGATAGTAAGCAGAAAACAGGAATATTAAAGTATATTCACCAGACACGCAGCAGTGCCTGGAGAACTACATCTGCCTTTGGGACTGTACAAATATAAACAGCATGGGATTTTTGTGATAGATGATTATTTGCGTAGAGAGTTTCAAATATATGGGAATAGGAATATGGATTATATATAATGTATATTACATTTTATTACTGAGAGCCAGGAACCACAAGATCATAGTCAGTCATAGCTTTGCAACAACATATTAAAACAAAGTACTAAAAATATCAGGTACAGACACAATAAGACCGACAAAATTCACAGAAGTTGTAACCATGTTATCCTAGACTTCTGGAAGAAGAAAAATGAGAAACGAGAAAGGAAAAAAAAAAAAGAAAGAAATTGCAGAGCCCTCTGCTGTAGGGGCCATACTTCAAGAAAGGACAAATCCCATTTCTTCTGTAAAACAATTGTTCCCTCCTTCAGGGGCACAGATGATAGTGTCTTTTTGCATTTTTGTGGCAGAGTTTTAATAAATTTCATTTCTTAGAATATATCTCAGCAATCGTCACATTTGAATGTGTGTGTATACACATAAAACACAACACTGAACATTTAAGTGGAGGCACAGTGAGCTTCCTTAGATAAAACAAAATGTTTCACAGATGGACAAAGCTAGAAGTGGTATCTAAATAGGAACAGATTTGAAACCGGGGGCAGGAAGACTACTGATACAGGACAGAAACTCTGAAAAAGAACAATGGTTTCACTAACAGACACTGGAAATACTGAAATGTAGAATCAATAGACACAGAAGAATGAAATTAATAAAAATAACCATGAAAACACAAAATATAAGAAAAGTGTACAGATCAGTGGTGTCACAGAGATTATAAAAGGCCAAATTAAGAAAGCAAAACAAACAAGGAAGCTAATATTGAAACTGCAGTTAGACTGAAAACAACGGCTCTTATATCAAGGCAAACAAGAAAAGATAGTGTGCAAGAGTACCAGAGACTGGTGACAGATGAAGTTACTAAGGATGAAATATCAGTCAGCCATGAAACAAAATTAATTTAGAGGGAGTGCAGCAAATGCACCAGAAGCAGAAGATAGGTTACCTACTATCAGAAAATGAAACACTACAAACAATTATTAGGGACATTATAACACAAAATACTCCTGTACCAGGTGCCTACAATTGACAGGAAAAGATTAAATAAGTTCTCCTAACAGGGATTAACTTACAACAGCAAAAAAAATGGAAACAGAAGAAATTCTGCCCTTTGCTACAACTGCTTTCTTCAAAGTCAAAACTGACAGAAATAATTTATCAAGGTTTTATGAGAAATCCTGATATTACCTCTACCAAAAAGCTGGACACTATATTTTCTGCAGCTGCTTTTCTTGGCCTTCTAAAGCTGCAGTCAGCTATTCCACCATTTAATTCCCATAATCGCTAACCACCCACAGGTTAGAGTTCCCTCTGTTCTCACTAGCCCTGCGATGATACATTTGCTAGACTGCATGTACCACTGATACAAGCTGTAACTCTGCCTGTGTTTTTAAGTAACTTCTCATTTCACGCATAATTCACCTAAGGTTTCTGTCCTAACTTCAGCCTCCTGAAAGCTACAGGTAACATTAATTATGTGATACTGAACCATTTAGTCTTTGTTCAGCTTTTTAAAATAGCCTTGTATATCTTTAACTCTTTTGTACACAGACACTGTGCTACTAGGAGAGATGAATGCAAGTAGGAGGCAGTGAGACTATTTTGATAAACACCTGAAAGTATTCTTTCTTTCTTTCTCTATTAGAGAGTCACTCAGAGACATAGGAATAAGAAATTAAGAAAAAGTGAGCAATCAGAAAATAAAGAGACGAGTGTCTGTTGGTGCTTATTTGGCTTAGTTTGGAGGAACAGACAGGCATAAGGGGGAACATACCACACTGTACTGGACACTCTTACCCTGTCACTTGTGGTATACTGTTTTTAAAAGTAATTGCCACCCTTCCTTTCCTTCTGTCCCTCCACTCTGCAGTGCCTGTCTTCCATTTCCTTCCCTTCCCTTGCTACTTCCACATCTTCTGAACTCTTTTGCCTCTTGCATTTTATGTGGAGTCAGGAACTCTGCTGAACTAACACTCTCAAGTGAACCCTTCCACGCACAACTCTTTGCCCATGTAGCTCCCAACCGGTAACTGGTTTTTATGGCTATTAGTATATTGATATTTGGTTGAAATACTAAGTGTCCTTTAAAACAGGAAAAACGTATCAGAATAACAAAAACAGAAATACCTGCACTCTGTTTCTTCTTAAGCAGTGAAGCACAAGCTGCATTGGTTGCCATGTCTAAAGCCAGTTTCTTCTCATTGTTCTTCAGATCTGTTCTTGCCCCTTTATAATAGAAAATTTTCATCATGAATCACTGTTCCAGCAATTTCTTGAGCAATGGTATTACAATACAAGTTGCAGCTGCATGGGTAGAACAGTAATGGACAAGGGAATCTCATATGTGGACTGCTCTGAAGCAGCCTGAAAGTTATAGATGCTCTTCCACAAGCTACAGTTGTCTAGGGAACTCGCTTGGCTGCTCTCCCTTTCCACGAAGAAGATGCCATTGCTGTTCTGAGGTTAAGTGCCTAATTTTGTCTGCAAAGCAGGATGAAATTTATCTTGAGCAGGTGAGATGTCTACTTTCCAAACAGCTGACAGAATTTTCTGCAAGGCTTATAAAGTCAGACAGGTAAGCTGGCTAAGGACTGTACCTGGGTTATAGGAAAACAGTTAAAAAAATACAGATTAATAAACATTCATGAATCTAGTCTGCCACACAGATTGTTGAAACCTTGGTGAAGATCTTTACCCTTTGCCAGCAGCATCTCTACAATATCTGCATAACCTTTCCATGCAGCGGCATGCAAAGCTGTGTCTCCCAATTTGTTCTGTGGAGTTAGAGGGAAAAGCAACAGGATTAAAATAGAGCAAAAAAACGTTCAGCTTGTAGCAAGGGTGAATAACATCACACCTCTACTATGAGGGTCTGTTGGTTTAACCTACCTGTTGGTTTAACTCTAGGTTTGCCTGGGTAAACAGAACATCCACTATATCTGCAGAAAACAGGGGAGCCAAAAATAAAGAGAAAAATTTATCAGAAACAAAATAGCATTTTCTGCATTCAAAGTATAAATGTAAATTTTGGTTAAGATTCAATGAAAGAGTGATCCAATCAGCTAATGAAAATCTTTAACAGTCAGACTGCATTGAGTAAACAATGACTAGTCACAAAGAAACGATACTGTACAAAGTACCCAAAACAATACAACACTTCTTTTTGGTCTGTCCTTTTTCCCACTCTGCTTCTAACAGTTACACAGATTAGAATGCCTGCATCAAGAGCAACAACAAAATACACAGCATTTGATGGAGCTGACCCTCCCTTCTACCTTTAACTTTTCTCTTAAAAAAAACAGAATGACATTAAAAACATCCTGGTTTTATTCTTTAGAACTGCAATTTCAGAAATCATAGTCTAACATGCAAATCAAGAAAATCAGAGAACAGTCATTTCATATTAATTCTCTGATACCTTTGTGGCCTCCATGGCACGCCCAGTACAGAGCTGTGTTCCCAGCTTTGTCTAAGCCATTGACTCCAACTCGATTATCCAAGCACTCTCTCAGCCAGCTTAGGTTGCCTGAAAGACAAATTCAGTTTTGATGATTTTTTTTTTTCCTTGAAAAGTCAACAGAACCATTAAAGACTCATAGTTCTTTCTGAACTGTGTCAGTCCTACAAACTTATGAGGAGAAAAAATGATTAGCAGCAACACTTATAATTAATAAAACAACCAGTCCAACTCATACCAAACATCTTTTCTTCCACTTCCAGAAGACTTTTAGATCCTTATGTAGTTAAATGGGTGGTACCAAACTCTTTTTCTGTGTACACAATTGCAGAGTGGCAATTCCACCAGGCTGTAAACCAGCTCAGCTTCTGAAAGCTGCAAAACTTACCAGATAACTTGATCAAGATAGCAGACAGCCAAAACAGATAGGACGTCTTCATTCTAAATATATCATTATTTTGGGAGAAAACAAACCAATCATCCTTTAGCATTACACAACTAGAACCCCAATCATACTTACCACGTTTGGCAGCTTCATGCAGTGGGTTATCAATAGACTCAGCTTGCTCTGCCACTAGAAGAGAAACAGAGAGCAAATTCTAACTACTTCTGAAACCGAACAGATGTTTGACACCTGCCTGGAAATAAAACTTTGATTTATTCCAGACGAACCAGTCATACATATTTGATTGTAACGTGGAAGGGGATTTGTGAGTGATGGTCTAGTCAGATGCACTTCAATTTCCTGTGTACGGGAAAGCAATTCAGAGAAGAGCTTGTGAAAACTTCAAAGAACAGCATCAAATTGATCAGTGGCTGCAAGCCACCAGAAATCTGGCAATCTGGCAGTATTTCATCTTGTTACTTCCCTTTCTACACTTGTAGGATGGTTTTGAGCAGTTGCATGTGGCTAGGCTTTCAAACTACAGCTTGCCATCTGTAGCTATGAGTGAATTATTTCCAATGGGTCTGTGAAGGGTAACTCAAAAAATTAATAAACTGTCAATAGGCTTTCTATTTGTTTTACAGAGATTATTTACTTTCCCTAAAAGAGAAGGTCTGCAAATCAAAACTGCGTCAACAACAAACGTAGTGAGAAGTAGATTGAAGTTCAGGCTTCTGTAGACCTTTTTATCATCTCATAAAGCTTTAGATTTTACTAGAGAGGAGTAGCAAACAGTTCCCGGTCACCGTGCTGCTGCGACAGCAAAAAGAAACTTAACAGCATTGTGAAACAGTTGGAAGTGGGACCATGATCTGGAAACTCTTTTTTGAAAAAAATTCTTTTTTTTAGGTGGAAAACCCTGTGACTACTTTGGGTGCAGGCAAGTAGGACAGTGTACAATCTGAGATGATTAGGCTCTCTGAGCCCTTGCACTATGGCTTGTTACAGGAAGAAGGGAGAATGTGAAAGGGTGTTCCTCAGATCACTGTTACTGTAGTCAGATGTAATGCAAGCAAATATAATGTATGTCTGTTACCAGAAGTACAAGTTTCTAGACTGTTGTGGCCTGTCCAGATCTTTTCCTACTTTGGTGTGCTCCTCCCATAATCACAGAATCACAGAATGTTAGGGGTTGGAAGGGACCTCTGTGGATCATCTAGTCCAACCCTCCCGCCGAAGCAGGGTCACCTACAGCAGGCTGCACAGGAC